GGGCTGGCAGGGCAGGGCAGGGCTGGCAGGGCAGGGCTGGCAGGGCAGGGCAGGGCTGGCAGGGCAGGGCTGGCAGTGCAGGGCAGGGCAGGGCAGGGCAGGGCTGGCAGGGCAGGGCAGGGCAGGGCTGGCAGGGCAGGGCAGGGCTGGCAGGGCAGGGCTGGCAGGGCAGGGCAGGGCTGGCAGGGCAGGGCAGGGCTGGCAGCGCAGGGCTGGCAGGGCAGGGCAGGCAGGGCAGGGCAGGGCTGGCAGGGCAAGGCTGGCAGGGCTGGGCAGGGCAGGGCAGGGCTGGCAGGGCAGGGCAGGGCAGGGCAGGGCTGGCAGGGCTGGCAGGGCAGGGCAGGGCAGGGCAGGGCTGGCAGTGCAGGGCAGGGCAGGGCAGGGCTGGCAGGGCAGGGCTGGCAGTGCAGGGCAGGGCAGGGCTGGCAGGGCAGGGCAGGGCTGGCAGGGCAGGGCAGGGCTGGCAGTGCAGGGCAGGGCAGGGCAGGGCTGGCAGGGCAGGGCAGGGCAGGGCAGGGCTGGCAGGGCAGGGCAGGGCTGGCAGGGCAGGGCAGGGCTGGCAGGGCTGGCAGGGCAGGGCAGGGCAGGGCAGGGCAGGGCTGGCAGTGCAGGGCAGGGCAGGGCTGGCAGGGCAGGGCAGGGCAGGGCTGGGCAGGGCAGGGCAGGGCAGTGCAGGGCAGGGCTGGCAGGGCAGGGCAGGGCAGGGCTGGCAGTGCAGGGCAGGGCTGGCAGGGCAGGGCTGGCAGGGCAGGACAGGGCAGGGCTGGCAGGGCAGGGCAGGGCAGGGCAGGGCTGGTAGGGCAGGGCTGGGCTGGCAGGGCAGGGCAGGGCTGGCAGTGCAGTGCAGGGCAGGGCAGGGCAGGGCTGGCAGGGCAGGGCAGGGCTGGCAGTGCAGTGCAGTGCAGTGCAGTGCAGGGCAGGGCTGGCAGTGCAGGGCAGGGCTGGCAGGGCAGGGCAGGGCTGGGCTGGCAGGGCAGGGCTGGCAGGGCAGGGCAGGGCAGGCCGTGCAGGGCTGGCAGGGCAGGGCAGAGCTGGCAGGGCAGGGCAGGGCTGGCAGGGCTGGCAGGGCAGGGCTTGCAGGGCAGGGCAGGGCTGGCAGGGCAGGGCTGGCAGTGCAGGGCAGGGCAGGGCAGGGCTGGCAGGGCAGGGCAGGGCAGGGCAGGGCAGGGCAGGGCTGGCAGGGCAGGGCAGGGCTGGCAGGGCAGGGCTGGCAGGGCAGGGAAGGGCAGGGCTGGCAGGGCTGGCAGGGCAGGGCAGGGCAGGGCTGGCAGGGCAGGGCTGGCAGGGCAGGGCAGGGCTGGCAGGGCAGGGCTGGCAGGGCAGGGCAGGCAGGGCAGGGCAGGGCTGGCAGGGCAAGGCTGGCAGGGCTGGCAGGGCAGGGCATGGCTGGCAGGGCAGGGCAGGGCAGGGCAGGGCTGGCAGGGCTGGCAGGGCAGGGCAGGGCAGGGCAGGGCAGGGCTGGCAGTGCAGGGCTGGCAGGGCAGGGCTGGCAGTGCAGGGCAGGGCAGGGCAGGGCTGGCAGGGCAGGGCAGGGCAGGGCAGGGCAGGGCTGGCAGTGCAGGGCAGGGCAGGGCAGGGCTGGCAGGGCAGGGCTGGCAGGGCAGGGCAGGGCTGGCAGGGCAGGGCAGGGCTGGCAGGGCAGGGCTGGCAGGGCAGGGCTGGCAGGGCAGGGCAGGGCTGGCAGGGCAGGGCTGGCAGGCAGGGCTGGCAGGGCAGGGCAGGGCTGGCAGGGCTGGCAGGGCAGGCAGGGCAGGGCAGGGCTGGCAGGGCAAGGCTGGCAGGGCTGGGCAGGGCAGGGCTGGCAGGGCAGGGCAGGGCAGGCAGTGCAGGGCTGGCAGGGCAGGGCAGGGCAGGGCAGGGCTGGCAGTGCAGGGCAGGGCTGGCAGGGCTGGGCAGGGCAGGGCAGGGCTGGCAGGGCTGGGCAGGGCAGGGCAGGGCTGGCAGTGCAGGGCAGGGCTGGCAGGGCTGGGCAGGGCAGGGCAGGGCTGGCAGTGCAGGGCAGGGCAGGGCAGGCAGGGCTGGGCAGGGCAGGGCTGGCAGGGCAGGGCAGGGTAGGGCAGGCAGTGCAGGGCAGGGCAGGGCAGGGCAGGCAGGGCTGGGCAGGGCAGGGCAGGGCAGGGCAGGGCTGGCAGGGCAGGGCAGGGCTCAGGGCAGGGCAGAGCAGGGCAGGGCTGGCAGGGCAGTGCAGGGCAGGGCAGGGCAGGGCAGGGCTGGCAGGGCAGGGCAGGGCAGGCAGTGCAGGGCTGGCAGGGCAGGGCAGGGCAGGGCAGGGCTGGCAGTGCAGGGCAGGGCTGGCAGGGCTGGGCAGGGCAGGGCAGGGCTGGCAGGGCTGGGCAGGGCAGGGCAGGGCAGGGCTGGCAGTGCAGGGCAGGGCTGGCAGGGCTGGGCAGGGCAGGGCAGGGCTGGCAGTGCAGGGCAGGGCAGGGCAGGCAGGGCTGGGCAGGGCAGGGCAGGGCAGGGCTGGCAGGGCAGGGCAGGGTAGGGCAGGCAGTGCAGGGCAGGGCAGGCTGGGCTGGGCTGGGCAGGGCAGGGCAGGGCTGGCAGGGCAGGGCAGGGCAGGGCAGGGCTGGGCAGGGCAGGGCAGGGCTGGCAGGGCAGTGCAGGGCAGGGCAGGCAGGGCAGGGCTGGCAGGGCAGGGCTGGCAGGGCAGGGCAGGGCAGGGCAGGGCTGGCAGGGCAGGGCAGGGCAGGGCAGGGCAGGGCAGGGCTGGGCAGGGCAGGGCAGGGCTGGCAGGGCAGGGCAGGGTAGGGCAGGCAGGGCAGGGCAGGGCTGGCAGGGCAGGGCTGGCAGGGCAGGGCAGGGCAGGGCTGGGCAGGGCAGGGCAGGGCAGGGCTGGCAGGGCAGGGCAGGGCAGGGCAGGGCAGGGCTGGGCAGGGCAGGGCAGGGCTGGGCTGTGCAGGGCAGTGCAGGGCAGGGCAGGGCTGGCAGGGCAGGGCTGGCAGGGCAGGGCTGGCAGGGCAGGGCAGGGCAGGGCTGGCAGGGCAGGGCAGGGCTGGGCAGGGCTGGCAGGGCAGTGCAGGGCAGGGCAGGGCTGGCAGGGCAGGGCTGGCAGGGCAGGGCTGGCAGGGCAGGGCAGGGCAGGGCAGGGCAGGGCTGGCAGGGCAGGGCAGGGCAGGGCAGGGCAGGGCAGGGCTGGGCAGGGCAGGGCAGGGCTGGCAGGGCAGGGCAGGGTAGGGCAGGCAGTGCAGGGCAGGGCAGGGCAGGGCAGGCAGGGCTGGGCAGGGCAGGGCAGGGCAGGGCAGGGCTGGCAGGGCAGGGCAGGGCAGGGCAGGGCTGGGCAGGGCAGGGCAGGGCAGGGCTGGCAGGGCAGTGCAGGGCAGGGCAGGGCTGGCAGGGCAGGGCAGGGCAGGCAGTGCAGGGCTGGCAGGGCAGGGCAGGGCAGGGCAGGGCTGGCAGGGCTGGGCAGGGCAGGGCAGGGCTGGCAGGGCTGGGCAGGGCAGGGCTGGCAGTGCAGGGCAGGGCTGGCAGGGCTGGGCAGGGCAGGGCAGGGCTGGCAGTGCAGGGCAGGGCAGGGCAGGCAGGGCTGGGCAGGGCAGGGCAGGGCAGGGCTGGCAGGGCAGGGCAGGGTAGGGCAGGCAGTGCAGGGCAGGGCAGGCAGGGCTGGGCAGGGCAGGGCAGGGCAGGGCAGGGCTGGCAGGGCAGGGCAGGGCAGGGCAGGGCAGGGCAGGGCTGGGCAGGGCAGGGCAGGGCTGGCAGGGCAGTGCAGGGCAGGGCAGGGCTGGCAGGGCAGGGCTGGCAGGGCAGGGCTGGCAGGGCAGGGCAGGGCAGGGCTGGCAGGGCAGGGCAGGGCAGGGCAGGGCAGGGCAGGGCAGGGCAGGGCAGGGCTGGGCAGTGCAGGGCAGGGCAGGGCAGGGCTGGCAGGGCAGGGCTGGGCAGTGCAGGGCAGGGCAGGGCAGGGCAGGGCTGGCAGGGGCAGGGCAGGGCAGGGCTGGCAGGGCAGGGCAGGGCTGGCAGGGCAGGGCTGGCAGGGCAGGGCAGGGCTGGCAGTGCAGGGCAGGGCAGGGCAGGCAGGGCTGGGCAGGGCAGGGCAGGGCTGGCAGGGCAGGGCAGGGTAGGGCAGGCAGTGCAGGGCAGGGCAGGCAGGGCTGGGCAGGGCAGGGCAGAGCAGGGCTGGCAGGGCAGGGCAGGGCAGGGCAGGGCTGGGCAGGGCAGGGCAGGGCTGGCAGGGCAGTGCTGGGCAGGGCAGGGCTGGCAGGGCAGGGCTGGCAGGGCAGGGCAGGGCAGGGCAGGGCAGGGCAGGGCTGGCAGGGCAGGGCAGGGCAGGGCTGGCAGTGTGTGGTGCCGGGCAGGGCAGGGCTGGCAGGGCAGGGCAGGGCTGGCAGGGCAGGGCAGGGCAGGGCTGGCAGGGCAGGGCAGGGCAGGGCAGGGCAGGGCAGGGCTGGCAGGGCAGGGCTGGCAGGGCAGGGCAGGGCTGGCAGGGCAGGGCAGGCAGGGCAGGGCTGGCAGGGCAGGGCAGGGCAGGGCTGGCAGGGCAGGGCAGGGCAGGGCTGGCAGGGCAGGGCAGGGCAGGGCTGGCAGGGCAGGGCAGGGCAGGGCAGGGCAGGGCTGGCAGGGCAGGGCAGGGCAGGGCTGGCAGGGCTGGCAGGGCAGGGCTGGCAGGGCAGGGCTGGCCAGGGCTGGCAGGGCAGGGCAGGGCAGGGCAGGGCTGGCAGGGCAGGGCAGGGCAGGCAGGGCAGGGCTGGCAGGGCAGGGCAGGGCTCAGGGCAGGGCAGGGCTGGCAGGGCAGGGCAGGGCTGGCAGGGCAGGGCAGGGCAGGGCAGGGCAGGGCAGGGCTGGCAGGGCAGGGCAGGGCTGGCAGGGCAGGGCAGGGCTGGCAGGGCAGGGCAGGGCTGGCAGGGCAGGGCAGGGCTGGCAGGGCAGGGCAGGGCTGGCAGGGCAGGGCAGGGCTGGCAGGGCAGGGCAGGGCAGGGCAGAGTGAGTGACAGCTGATGGAACGCTACGTGTTCTCCGGGGATTGTCGACGCGCGCGCACGTCAGAGGGTCACTCACTCACTCACACACACACACAGAGAGAGAGAGAGCGGAGCGGCCACAGCGCCGTCACTGACAGTCACAGCCACAGCCACAGCCACAGCGCCGCCGGAGAGAAGGGTCGCGACAAATTACACATCACTCTCAGCCACGAAAGCAATTGATGTCAATAAAGCACATAGAGCGGGAGAGGGAGAGAGAGAGAGTTGTCCGTCTGTCTGATCACTGCTGGAGATCAGCAACACGCACACAGCGAAGTGCGCGGCGGAGAGTCCCCGCGGGAGGAAGGCGGCGCCAGAGGTCTGTTCTAACAAAATTGGGCATTTTTAAAAACACGAACGTCTTTTTTTTTAAAAAAAAATCGCGTTCTTTGGGATGGACTCTCGTCTCCAGAACCTGTCGCTGGTTTGATATTATATGTCCAACAGCTGGTGCACAGCTGTCACTTTGCACAAGGGAAGCGGGGGGGGGGGGGGGGGGGGGGGGGTATAAATATAAATGCATATATATTATATCAATATAATATATAAATAAGTATAAATGCATATATATATATGTGGCAGTCAGCAGCGGGACAGCCTTTGGGTGTATTGCATTTCATACACAGTTGCCCTTCAGTGTGGGAGAGGTCCTGTTTTTTTTATGCGTTCCCATTGCACGTACTACTCCAACTCTTTTAGGGTTTAACGTATTCAAACAGCAATAAAAATGAAGAGCTATTCACTGGCACATATGACATAGACATTATGCATCTTAATAATCATCATCATCATCACAATAAGGCGCAGGAGTTGAGTCTTCTTTCCTATTTTCGAATTAAAAGGCCTTCGTGAAAATGCCTTATTTTAGTTGAAAAGGAAGAACTCTGCTTTTTTTTAATCGAAATAATCTCATTATGAAAGTCGTGTACACTTCAAATGCTTTGCCAACCAGTTCCTCATATTGCAACAGAACACATTGCTGATCATTTTCAGCAAAGCACTGGCCCTTTTACACATCATTTTTCATAAAAACAATTCGTGTAAAGATTTCTGATATTCTATAATTGTGATGTTCATGTTATGGTTTAATATGATTATTATTGAAATGTGTGTCAGCTGTGCTTCTGTTTTGGTACTTGCATCTAAGGGGAACATGGTTATTATTATTACTATTGTTATGTTAGTTGAGTGAATAAGTCCGAGCGTTCTGTTTTGTTGGCCATTGTCCTCATAATTATTTGAAAATAAACGGGTGAGATTCAAAAACACGGACAAAAGTTTTCAAAATAAATGAGCCCAATTTGTTTTTCTTTCATTCTGCAATTCATAAACGTGGGTAAAATAAGTAAATGTTTCTGGAAAAACAAAATCCATCCTTTAGATGAGACATTAAACTGAGGTTGTGTTGGGCCTGTTCAGATCAATGTTAAACAACAACTTGCATTGATATAGTGCCCCTCATGCAGGTTAGCGTCCCAGAGCGCTTGACAGCAGTGGAGCGCAACGCTGAGGCGGGGGGAGGGGGAGGTGACCGTAGGCACGGTCGAATGGGAAGGTCTTCAGGCGCGACCTGAAGACTTTTGCCATAGCACTTTTCAAAAAGAGAAGGGAGTTTCACCCCGTGTTCTGGACAACAAATCCCCCAAATAAAATTGGTCCTTCACTTCATGGCAGTTTGTGGAACATTGCTATGTGCAAATTGCTGTGTTGGCCCACAAATACCCAGTAAATCCTGTGAAGCACTTTGGGATGACCTCCCAAAATGAAAGATGCTGTAATAAATGAAGGATTGGTGGATATGGCAAGAAAGTGGGATTAATATCAACTAAAAAGGAAAGGCTCGTTGAGCCAAATTGACTTTTTCCAGTTTAAAAATCACTTATGTTCTCAAGACAAAATTACCATTGACTTTGAATCAACTAGAAGGAAGAATTGCATTGCCAGAAAAATAAAAGTACAGTATCCCATTTGAAATGATTAAACTGTACATAACTACAACAAAAACAACAATTTGCATTTGTATATCGTCCCTAATGCAGGGTAGAGTCCCAGAGTACTTGGTTTACATAAGGAAATCCAAAATTATATTGATAAATAGGTCCAAGTGTTTCAGTGTAATGTCTGGATGAATTTGAGAAATTAGATTTTGGTTGTGTATCTCCAGAGAGTCAAATTCAAACTTTGGATTTCAATCCATGGTTTAAAAAGAATGTGGAAGGTCAGAATCAACAACAACATCTTGCACTTTTATAGCGCCCTCCACGCAGCGTAGTGTCTCGGAGCGCTTCAAATCAAAGTTCAAATGTAAATGGTTTACAATGCAGAGAATTTTCTTAGTTTATTTTACACTTCAGTGAAATTGCTTTTACCCTGATTATTGTGCTTTTTGCAAATTTTTTAGCATTGTAGATTGTCATACATATATATTTATGTACAAACTACTCACATACACATATATATGTATACACAAATGGTTTGTTTGCATTTGATTATGTAGTAGAAAACAAATATTCTGAAACATTCAGTCCTTTTAAAATACCTAATACTTTGTTCATCTTTTCAGATTCAAATGAAACCATGGATCATCCAGACTAGTAAGTATTGTTTGATTACACATTTTCTTATATTTTTTTTACGTTTGTATTCCTAAAGACTTATGTCCCATCTCCACAGAGATTGGGTTTCCCTGCCTCTTGAGAGCAGTGGCAAGAAGGCAGTTATGGAGGTGGATTGGATGAGAGAGAAGCATGCAGGCAGGTTGAATGATCTCAGAAACTTGGGAGTGTAATATTGAGGGATATTAGAATGAAGGATGGAGGTCAAAGAGAAAACAGAACAAACAGTCCTTACTTTGAAATAATCCCTTATCACACTGTCATGATATCTCAAAGCACTTCACAGGATTTTTCTGGGAAGTGTGGTGACTGTATTTTGTAGCCAATTTACTTATTGCTGTGTCCCACAAACAGCCATAAAGTAAATGATCTGTGGGGGTTATTTGCCTTGGGACGTTCTCCTGACGTGAAAGGCGCTATACAAATTTAATTTGTTGTTTGCTGAGACACCAGGAGAACTCTCCAAATAATGCCACTGTATCTTTAATATCCACCTGAATAGGCAAATGGACTTTAGTTTAATGTCACATCTGAAGGGTGGAACTTCTGACAATGCAGCACATCCCCAGCATTTTATTTTAGTGTCAGCCTAGACAATCCTAGAATTATAAGCACAGAAAGAGGCCATTCGGCGCATCTTGTCTGTTCGGCCTCTTTGTAAAGAGCTATCCGATTCAATCCCACTCCCTGCTCTCTCCCCATAGCCCTGCAAACTTGTCCTACTCAATCTGAGTCCAAAGTGGGTCTTGAGCCCACAACATTCTGTCTCAGCAGAGTTGTTACCAACTGTGTGGAGTCCTGTAGCTCAGTGGTTAGAGTACTTGCCTCGTAAGCGAGAGACCTGCGTTCGATTCCCGGCAGAGCGAAATGTTGGGCAAGTTTCCTTCCCCCACATGCATCTGTTTACCTAGCAGTAAGTAGGAACCCGTTGTTAGTCGATTGGTGGATTGCTTTTCTGAGGGTAATAATTTCTTCAAAAAAACCATAGTAATATTAGTTACTTCAAGCCATGACTGTTTCTGGGACACTGTTGTGCACAACTGGCTGCAGTGTTTCGCCCACAAAAATATAAGTCAATTCACTTATAGTATATTCTGTGAAGCGCTTTGAGGCGTCTCAAAGATGTGATAAGGCACTATATCAAATGCAAGGATTATTATTATTAACTGTTTGCAACCTCCTTGAAGATTCAACTAGGCATTATTAATAGAAATTGCCAATAAATCAGGTGCATTATGGAAATTGGCACTTGAGCTATATAAACATTGTCACGGAAGAGGGATAAATCTTATCAGGTTCAGGAATCCCCCATCCTATAACAACAACTTGCACTTGTATAGCGCCCTCCACGCAGGTTAGTGTCTCAGACCACTTAACAGTGACGGAGCCCATCCTAGTTAGAGTGTGCGCGTGTCTCTGTGTTATAAATACTGTTAATTGCCGGCAGTCGTCCTGTATTCCATTTCTTTATTACCTATTAAAACCCGTTTCTATGAACGACACCATCCAATATTTGTTATTGGGTCAATTCATTATTATTGGGTCATTGTTTAGTTTCTTTAACAATTGAGAATAAATGAAAAAAATCATAGTTTCTGTCCTGGTACAAGAGAATAAGAAAATAATATTATGGTTATGAGGAAGAAACTGATCAATCACATTGTTTGTCAAAAAAAACAGAAAACGTATTGTACATAGAAAAATTCTGTTCATAATCCAGAAGAACCATAGTTCCTGTTTTATGATATGAATTAATATTGGCCTGTAATGGCCTTCTGCTTCTGTAGGTGTTTATAAACATGGCTCTTATGTTTTCCAAATGGTGGCTGGAACATGCCTGACTCTTGCCTCAAAGCAATCATTGTGAATGACCTCACAACTATCTCTCACACAGTAATTATCCTTAAGAGCATGAGCTTCCTGGTGATTTTGTAATAGTTGAATTTTAGACTTAGTTTGTAATAGATTATAAATAGTGTCCGATTTCTGTATTATTTTAACTACTTTCAGACTTGCAAAGGCAGAAAGACATGAGAGGACAGGTTCAGGGTTATTCAGGGCAATTTTAGGACAGACATGAGGAAGTCTGTTTTTGCAGAGAGTAATTGACAGGTAGAATGGGTTCCAGGAAGGAATGCTCAGGCCATACACTTGACTCATTTAAGACAGTTTGATGATTTTTAACGGCAAGGTGATATCGTGGATGTTCTGGAAGGATAAGATCAAATGAGTCAAAGGACCTTCTTCATCCAAACCTCTATTGTGATCTTGCGAAAGAACACATGCACACAAACATAGGAGGTTTGTAAGTGGGCATTGCAGTAGTTTTAAATGCTAGAAGTGAGAATGCTACCATTCCACTTTGTTGTGACTGACTTGTTCTTTGTCACCTCAACCCAGATTGTAACAAGAGGGAGACCTCGATGTTTTGCCTTTAAGGCCATGACTGTCTCTTCTCTTTGCATTAACTAGTTCTGGGTGTTCTAGCTACAACAAGCTGCATCCTGCGGCACATTCTGGTGAGTTGGTTGCTCTGCATCACGTTGCCCTGCAGCTGGCCACCTTGCCAATTGATAATTGAACTTCTATTATCCATCAGCAGCCCAACACTGTACAGCTTTCAATGCAAACCTTCATTGCTAAAATGGTTTAACTAATGCCAAACCATGTTCACAGAAAATAAATGTATGCATTTTGCAGTAAATGTGCCACACATTACTGACCAGCCTCCTCGTATAGGATAATGCTTCCCTCCTATGATGATGCCATTTGAATTACTGAAATGTGAAGGACATTCATTCATGCAATTGGAAGCATAGAAATCTAGAAATCAAATTTCTGGTTTATTTTCCCTCATTCCTTTGCTTCTCTCCAATTGCTTATTAAATGTTCTTTACAATAATGTATGGGACCAAATAAGTAATATATCTTTTCTACTCTAGACAGCCTTCTTCCATTTACCTCTCTCCCATTTCCTATTCATGGGCATCTGGTCTGTTCCCAGGCATGTGCTAAACGTGCTTTTGAACTTAGGTATGGATTTAGTCATCATCTGTTTTTTATTCCTTGCCAACTTTGCCAGTAACCCATTTGGGCACCATTTTCAGCACCTGAATCTTACGATGGCAAATGGCACAATATGTTGATACACTACACTCATTTTTAGCCCATGGCATTGTACACAAAATGTAAAGTTTACTGTCTGCCACTGTATAGTACAAAAAAGCTGCATTTTCCACTGCTTCTGTACAAATGGTCCCAACTATAATAGAAAGGACAACTTGGATTTATATAGTGCTCTTCACATAAGTTAACTGCTCAGAGCACTTTACAAAGACCGGATGAGATGCTGGGAAGATGGAGGTGACCACAAGCATGGTTAAAGAGATGGATTTTAAGCCCAGACCTGGATAGAGAGAAAGGGATGAGACTGAGGGTAAAGAGGAACTTCCAGGGATGTAGTATTCAAGGTTTAGCCACCAATGGTGATGGGGAGTGGGATGAAGACATGCTGCAAATTTGAGTGAAGATGGGAACCAGATGAGTGGGGTAGGAGACGATTACAGAAATAAGGAAATGCTATGGTGTAACGGGTTGTCTGGGTAAGAACCTTGAAATTAATCTGCTGTGAGTTAAGGAGACAGTGAAGTTTGGCAAGCAGATTATGGAGATGAAGAATAAAAGTCTTTATCAGGGACCGAATGTGAGGGAGAAAAGAGGGCTAGGGTTGGAACCGGGCACCAAGATTGCTCACTGCTTCACTTTTTTAGGCAGTTTGGGTAGATAGAATTTGTAATTTTATATAACTCACAAATAATTACCCTGATAGACTCCTTGTGACGAAAATGTCAGTCTCTCTTGCCAAGCAGTTCTGTGGGTTTTAAGCTCATGCTATAACTTTGAAAACAATACTCCTGTTACAGCCATAATAATGTTCAGTTAGACTGGCTGTTAAAAGCAGAGTCTATAATAGCATTACAAAGGGAATTGGATTTCACAATTGGCAATTCTTCACATGCTGTTTTTTCAGTTCTAGGACTGGATATTAAATCAGTCAGGACATTTCAGTTTCATCCACATTGTGTAATAGACTGCCACTTCACTTGAATAACGCATTGTTTTTATCTTATTAGTGGATATGCTCGAGAACTTTATAGCCGATATGTACGAAACCAGGAAAGTTCAGTTGTGAACAAAATGCAGCAAAAGTACTGGAAGACCAAGCAAACCTTCCTTAAAGTGACTGGGAAGAAAGAAGATGAACATGTTGTTGCATCAGATGCAGACCTGGACTCTAAATTAGAGGTAAGGAATGTTACCAGAGATGTACGGAGAGGTACATGGAATTCAAACCCATACTTTTTGGATGTGCACTGATAGCTCAGGCGGGTAATTGCGTTTGTGGAAAAGATAAAGTATCGCTGTTTAAATAGTGACTTTGATTTTTCTATACCTACCTTTCTCCCACAAAATATACAGTCAATCTACTTTACAATATATTCTGTGAAGCGCTTTCAGACATTTCAACAACACGAAAAGGAGCTATTTCAAATGCAAAGATTAATATTATTATTTCCTCTTCGAACTGTACTTACAGTTACCTCTCTCCTGCCCTTCTAGTGTCTGGCATGAACTGTGTGAAGAGCTTCACGACATTAACTTAATGAAAGACAAGACTGTGTACACATACATATATACGAGTGTTAGTGGTAGACCCTGAGTGATTTCTGCTGTTAACGCGCACCAAGGAAGAGATAATCGTATGAATTTGCTTTTACTCTGTACATTAAACTGAAAATTCCAATAGCTTTTTTATGGACTTGTACCTTCGTCTTTTTAAATATTAAGAGAGTCTCCAGCACAGATTGCTGATTTATCCTATGAGACTAAAAATTATTATTTTGTTCTTAGTGCTCCTTGCCCCTCTATCATCTCTCTATATACGTACCACAATCTCAAAATGTTCTTCTCATTGGCATCTCCCTCTGCTCCTGGTCCCCAACCTCCACTTGCTGGGGTCCTATTTCACAGGTGGCATTTTCACTCTGGTACCTGTCCAAGTTGCCATTGTTCCTGTCTGAGCTTTGCCCATGAGTGTCAACCAACTGCTTGACTGTAGAGAGTCGCACAATCAAGTCTCTGTTGTCCTACCCAGCTTCACACATGCCCACTACTAGAAGAGGGTGCTGAAAAGGGACCTGGATGTAAACCCAGCTGATTTTTAGCTTTACTAACCCTGGGAAGACTAAGGCCAATTTAGCCCTGGCTGAGATCAGCAGTCAGTGTGGACTAGCTTTTGAAACAGCGAAATTTCCTGGTCCATAAACTGTATCCACTACACCATCAGGGCAGCCTTCATTTTTGCTCCAAATGTTTTATGACACATTATTAAATGCCTATTAGAAATTCATACACAAAACATTGCCTGCATTTCTTTTTACATATTTGAAGCAAGCCGATTTTGATTCACCCACGACTTTTTCACTAATTTGATCCCTTGTTATGGATTTGTAACTGATTTGACACCAGCTCTATAGTTTTCCAATTTAACCTTCTTCCTCTTCTTGAACATGGTTTGGCCATTATTTGGTTTTACTGTGTTTGCAAAGATGAGGTGGTTACTTGGGATACTATTGTAGATTTTAAGAACTGTTGAAAACCCACTTCCAAATTGAGTTAATTTAGGAATTTTTCAAAATCCTGCCCCATCTTCAATTTTAAGGCAATGATTCTAGAACCATGAGAGATTTGGGATTTCGAATGTTCTATGGATTTTGTAGTCATAAAGTTACCACTTGATTTCAGATCATTTGTTTCAGAATTTACTTTAATGCTCATTCCTAACCTGGTCTGAATTTGTTCACTGCTGAAGACTGTGTAAACAATGTTGTCATTGCCATTGGCTGTGTTTTTCAGTTATAATCTTCTCTAGTGCTTAAATTTCTATTTGCTGCAAATTTGCCTCTATGCAGTATTGTATTTTGGACTTCAAAAGGTTCAATTGCTTTGTTGCAAAAAAAAACTTTAGGCAATATTGCCACTTTTCATTTACTCGCACATTGTTTGAACAGGCTCAAAGATTGGAAACAGTCAGCAAATTCCAAATCAACCATATTCCCATCAATGGATTGAGCTTTTATTGTGATGGAGTGTATTAATAATTAATGGTATGATTGTAGTGTGGAACAGATGTGGATCTCAAACACTTATAGAATCTTAACTCAGTGGACCATGCCAAAATGTGTTCATTCCTAGATTAGTGGAATAAGAACAAGCTAATGAGCATTTTTGGTAGTTAAATAGAGAAGAAAGTGAATAATACAATTTACTTCATTAATGAGGTTTAATTATTTTCTTAAGCTTTTATTTTTGAATTGCACAGGAATTGCAATGTGCAAAGATCGTAAAGGGATAAACAAGCAAAGACTTTTTCTTTTTTTTTAACTTGCGAGGAAAATGTATATCCAGAGCAGGGATTGCACCATTAAGCATCTTGTACTTTGGGTGGGATTTGGTGTTTACAACTAGTCTGTGTGGAATGATTTGTGCCCTCCAGTGGCTACACCTGGTTTTGCTTTTTCCTTTCACAAATCTGCACATGGAATACTGCACCATGCCTCCTCCTGGATTCTCATCACATCATGATCCAGAATTTTTTAAAATCGTATTTTTTCATGGCAATTCAGCGCATAAATGCCATCATTGATAGTGCTGCATGTACTCTGTCTGGTCTATTGGAGGGACAAAGCTTGCATTTGGTTAACTCTCAGGTCTTATGGACAGCTCCTTTATGGAAACAACCTTGTCAGTCAATTATTTTAAACTAGAGACTGATTATCTCCAGTGGCTAGTTGGGCACAGGTCCTCCTGGACCTCAGAGTGGCTGTGGCTGGTGTTGGGAATGCATGATTAGATGCATCTCAGAGGCTTCTGGTCTATTGGAGGGCGTGCACTGCTCCCCCCACCCCCCTGGCTCGGAGTCGGGCTCTGCCACTTTTAAGCAGTCTGAGACGCTATCCTGCATAGAGGGCGCTATATAAGTGCAGGTTGTTGTTGTTGCTGAGCACCAGTCACAGGGTAGGGCAGGAGACCTCTGCAATGCAAGATGCCATTCTATAGGACGAGTTATCTGATCAATTTTACATTGAAAGTACTTACTCGAATTTCTAGAATGCAATTGTTAAATGTTAAGTGGAGTGACAAGTAATTCGGAATCCCTTATCAACACTTTGCATGGGAAGTGGCCGGGATATTGACAGCGGGGCTGCTTAAGTGGTAGTGACAAGTTAAGCCATGGTTTTGTTATCAGGAGTTGACTATACATTCTTGTTTATTTACAGATATTCCAATCCATTCAGAGAACATGCATGGAACTTCTGAAGGTCATTGATCAGTACCAGAAACGGATTTGTTGTATGTATCTAACATGTTTTATACATCAAACAACATATTTTTAACAATTTGCTGTTCTTTTCTACTTTTCCCTGGCTTCACAATATTGATTATTTCAGGAATCACTTAAAAAAAAGATAGTTTGGGCAAAACTGAACATCTTAATTTATAATAGTCAAGGGAGAGGTGATGGATTTTGGCAAGGACAGGATCATTGTTAGCTATGATGCTTCCTATATTTGGATGAGCTAGGAAGAGCATCCAAAGGACAACCTACTTGGTAGAAAAAAAGTAATTTTGAAGTACAGTGCAGCCACAGTTGCTTTAAGCTTCACATTAGTAGCCAAAGGAAATGTTTGATGCTGCACTTCAAAGCCTGTTTGATGAAGTTTTTTGAATATTTTTATTTTAATATTTTAATATTGTAATATTTTGAACTTGCACAAACAATACAAAAATACATCATCTATGATTTTTTAGCAAGATCACACTCATGGTGTTTGCACTGCCCAGTTCAATCTGCTATATTTCAACACAAACATCGACTTTGTGTAATTAGGGTAATTAAAATTTACAGTGCACGATTTTAATTGTGTGATGTTGATTTCAAAAAGTAATCTTTTTGCTGTTATGGTTGAAATTGTTCCTTTAAATTATTGCCCTTTGTGTACTGACTTGTGTAATGTGCATAATCGCTCTGATAGCTACCCTGCATGGAGGGCACTGTATCAGTGCAAATTGTTTTTGCTGGTGTTGTTATGTGTATGATGAATATGGTAATCCATGCCCAGTTTCATGAATGGTCTGCCTTACAGAAATTATGTTGCAACAGTTAGAAAGGCAGAAACAGAGTGAATGGTATTTCACCAGTTCCCTGCAGAAAGCATACATCTTTCCTCTTGAGTATAGAATTACACGGGTACCAGAAGTGAGATAAGGAGGATTTATTTCCTGCACTCCCAACTGAGGGAAGATGGGCACACTCAACACTTCAGCTCACTCGATTCTGTGACAGACACCTTAAGACAAAATCAACAACTGCAAGGACTAGAGAATTTTTCAGCTCTTTGTCTTGCTTTGAAATTGTAAACTGTGTTCTGTTCCAGTTTTGTCGCAGGAAGAAAATGAGCTGGGAAGGTTTCTCAGGTCCCAGGGATCACAGGATAAAACAAGAGCAGGCAAGATGATGCAAGCTACTGGAAAGGCTCTCTGCTTCTCCTCTCAACAAAGGTATTACAATTTGCTGCTGCTGAACCACTGTGTAATTGTAACTGAAGTGTGCTTTGTGGAGAATGGCTTGACAGTTCAGTGGATTAGTGACTAGTATGAGGGTCTCACTGAATGGAAGGATAAGTAGTTTGCCTGTATGGGCTGGGAGGGGAAGAGGGAATAATAAAATAATAATAATCCTTGCATTTGATATAGCGACTTATCACGTCTTCGACACGTCTAAAAGTGCTACAAAAAGTATACGGTAAAGTGAATTGATTGTATATTTTGTAGGCAAAATGCAGCAGCCAATTGTGCACAGCAGTGAGCCACAAGCAGTCATAGATTGAGTGAACAATTTATTATTATTCTTTTTGAAGGAATTATTACCCCCCAGAAAAGCAATTCGCCAATTGACTAACAACCGGGTTTCTACTTACTGCTAGGTAAACAGAGGTGTGTGGAGTAAGGAACTTGCCCAACGTTTTGCCTTACCGGGAATCAAACTCAGGTCTCTCGCTTGCGAGACGAGTGCTCTAACCACTGAGCTACAGGGATGTTACTGCTTGTCTTTAGAAAATGAAGGCCAAGGCTAAAACCCTTGATCCATGTTTTCTCTTCTGTAGGTTGGCTCTCCGCAGCCCTTTATGTCGGCTGTATCAGGAAGTAGAAACTTTCCGGTATCGTGCCATTTCTGACACCTGGCTGACGGTTAACCGAATGGAACAGTCCCGTACAGAGTACCGGGCAGCACTGCTCTGGATGAAAGATGTTTCTCAGGAATTGGATCCTGATATGTATAAGCACCTTGAAAAGTTCAGGAAGGTAAGAGTGATCGATTGTCACCGCACAATGTGTAGTTCCAGAGCTGGCAAACACTGAAATGTTTAGAGCAAAGTGAGATTCCGAATGTCTGATCCGATCTCCTCAATGATTTTTATTTGCACTTTTTAAATTTTTATTATTTGTGCACCGTTTGCCACAGTTGGTGAAACAATTCCCTGATGGTGCAAAATGTTACTGTTGATTAATGTTTCTGATTTGTTTTGTTGTCATTACCTGATAGTGGTATGTCTGGCAAAGGAAGTAAATCAAATTTACTTTGGTAATTTCAAGCATTTCAATAATGCCTCTAATCCCTCAGTAGTGATGATCAACCAAGTGGATCAATGAAACTTCATTAAATTGTGATTTAGAAAGTTCACTCATCAAAGTGTTAAATAATGAGGGAAAATCAACACAGCACCAAAACAGCTCTGTAGTGCAATGAGATTCAGTCAAAACATAGGGTTGTATTTTTTTTAAAAATCTGACTAACTTTAACACACAATGTATTTTCAGTATAGTACACAAACATTTTTGGAAAAAGGTGGAAAGCGTTTGATATGAGTGGTGCCCTTGTAGTCTGTCTCCCTGTTTATTATTACAGCCTCTTACTTTGGACCATGTGAGTGAAGTGGCTGCCCTGCAGCAAAACCCGCAATTCTTAAGCAAAGAGTGTGCTTGCAATCCAGGGCCCCTTCCCATTCAATCTGCTGACCCAGTGTGAATTGATCTCTGAAACAATTCCTGCCCTATTAGTGTTTGAATGGGAATATCTGGGCTGGATGTTAATCTCCAGCCAAGAAGGGTTACACAGGCAAGTAAATGGGTCAGAATTCTACAGGCTTGGCTTTAATATTACAAATTCTCACTTTTTCTGAAAAATCTGAAATTATTTAGTGTATCTCTGAAATGACTCCGTCTCAAATATTTTGGATATGTGCAAGTTCACTGTAATTTCCTTACTCTTCTCACTTGACTATCGTAGTTCACATATTTCTCGTTTTTTTCTAGTTGTATTCTTAAGATCTTTTACTCATTGGAGGGTAATCCAGAAAATAGTTTGTTTTCCCCTTCACCCTCGCTCTTAAACAAAAAAGCACCCACTATCCACCGTAGGGAGAAGGAGAGCAAAGAGTGGGATCTCTTTGGAGCTGTGTTCACTCCAAGATGACATTATTAAGTTGTTCACTTCCCCTTTCTCTTAAAGCATAAGTTTCAAAATGGATTGTTAAATTATCTCAAACATAATGGTGTGAGGAGACGGCACATATTGGCATCCAGCTTGTTATTGGAGGCTCGTGGCTGAGCTCCATTTCTATATCATGTCTGTGTTTAGGAGTGTGTTTAGGTGTCTCTCTTTGTCTTTCTCTGTGTGTCTCTCTGTGCGTGTGTGTGTGTACATAGTACACAATATAATAGTAGTTGGGATCCATAAAATCCCAGTGATAAGCTGCCGTCCAGTTCGGCAACCGTTGGGTCATCAGGCCTTCACTTCCTGAGTGTTGCATGTGACTCGATGACCCAGAAGGCGACCAATTTTTAACGCAAGAGAAATGGGTCAGTGTTTTGAAGCCGCTTTCTATGAGCATTTTTAAATTTTCCTTACTCCACACGCCTAATAATAATCCCTCCAAAAAACAAAACCAATAATAAATTGGTCATTTTCAATTCACGACTGTTTGTGGGACACTGCTGTGCGCAATTGGCTGCAGCACTTCGCCCACAAATATACAGTCAATTCATTTTACAGTCTATTCTGTGAAGCAATTTGAGATGTCTGGAAGACGTGAAAAGCGAGTTATATCAAATGCAAGGATTATTATTATTTATATTGAGTGAATGTTGGTATCTGCTTCTACAACACTTAAATAAGCATGTTCCAAACGGGGTACCACTGTATATTCTGTACAGTCGTGTGTAGTTTAGCCTTACAGGAGTCCTGTAGTTCAGTGCTTAGAGCACTCGCTTTGCAAGCATGAGACCTGGGTTCGATTCTCAACAGGGTGAAACCTTGGGCAAGTTTCCTTTCTCCACACGCCTGATAATAATCCCTTAAGAAAAAAAACAATAATAAATTGGTCACTTCAATCCACGACTGTTTGTGGGACACTGCTGTGCGCAATTGGCTGCTACATTTCGCCCATAAATATACAGTCAATTCACTTTACAGTTTATTTTGTGAAGCACTTTGAGATGTCTAGAAGACGTGAAAAGCGCTATATCAAATGCAAGGATTATTATTATTAATGGAATATTGGAATCAAATTGGCATTCTTTGGCAGTCTTAATAATCTAGTTCCTGAGTCAAGCAGATCCACAATACTCCAAAGCACAGTTGTACTTGGAGGAACAGGCCAGTCAAAGGGAGGTGAGATTCTTCATACTCAGCTCCAGTTAACCTCACAAGCCAAAGCTGTAAAAGGTAGGGACTCCCAGCTGCAGAAGTAGCGGGAAGTTTGCCAGTGTTTGCAGAATTTTAGTTAGTTAAATTCCCCAAAGCTTGGTTTTTGCCGACCTGCACTTGAACTTCCTTGTGATTAGATAAGCAGATTGCGTCCCTCCACGGAGAGAATGCGGATCCTGTTCAAGAAAATTTGAAACCATACATGTGTGAAACTCAGCAGTTTTAGTTTGTAGACCCTTCAGCATGGTGATGTTTCCATGTTAAACACCCATTTAAAAAAAAACTATGAATACATGCAATTTAAGAATGTTGTTCAAATATCTACATGGAATGGAATTCCAGCAAGATGTACATTTAAGTAAAAATAAAAATTGTTTGCATTCAATCATTTGCAAAAATTGTATTGCAATTTATCAAAGTGACTGTTCTCTTCACTTTAACTGCTGTTAAATATTGTCACATGATGGCGCTGTTCTACCGGGAAAAGTCCTTTTTTCCTACCAGCTAGAAGTTGAATCTTGAATTATGACTACACAGAAAGTGGCTTAACCATGGTACAGAAATCCATCTTTTTTTGTGATCAAATTGAACCACTCTTAATTATAATCAGCCACCATTTTGTATAATAGAGCACTACTGGAAAACGTTTTTGATAAAAGTTTTGAAAGCGAGCAAGGTGAATTTGCTTAATTTATTTTTCACTCAGATGGTTGCTTTCATTATTATGTGGGCCAATAGCTTAATTAGTGGAGTAGAGAAAATCAATAACTTTCATTGTAACAAATCAGAAGAAAGCAAACAGCTAGAAACCTTCAACTTATTTTTCTTTCAAATGCTGACTGACCTGTGTACATTGTCTACTGTTTGCTGACATTATTTCAGATTTACGGCATCCTATTTTGTTTTATCTTTGAAAATATTATCGGAAGTGGAAGGATTGACTTCCTTCTGTTACGTTCCAGGGGTCAAATTCTTCAGTTCATCAAAAAAATCAGAGTTAGAAGTAGGATTGTCAGTCTATTGACCTAATAACTAGAATAATCCTTGCATTTGATATGGTGCCTTATCATGTCTTCAAGACAGAATATACTGTAAAGTGAATTGACTGTATTTTGTGGGGGAAACTATGCACCCAGAACACCATTGGTGCAATCCAGGAAGGGAGTTAGATACTTTTGTTGTTGACATTCAATTAAGACAGAACTGGGAAAGGTTGGGCAACAGTTTCCCTGTTAACCCTCAATGTTATTAATAATACTTTCATTTAAGACTTTTCAAAGCACTTCACAGGATTTTACTTGAAGTGCAATGATTGCATTTTTAGGTGAATATAACAGTCAATTTGCACCAATGCCCTATAAAAAGTCAATGAAATTAATTACCAATTTTGTTTGCGAGAACACTGTGAGAAACTCCCTTTTCTTTTCGAACATTGCTATAGGATCTTTCACCATTAAATCCCTCCATGGTCTTGCCCCACCCTACCTTTGCGACCTTCTCAAATGTTGCATCCCACCCACTCCCTCTGCCCGGCAGCCACCGACCTATTTCACGTCCTGACCCTAACAGCCCTGCCATCAGCATAGGGTTGGGATTCATCATATCTGCTCCCACTTCACCTGGAACTTCATCTCAGAGTCCCTCCATCCATCTCTCATTGGGGAGGGACGTGTGTCCGAGATGTTGGCAGGAAGGTAGTGGCAATGGTTTTGCGTATTTCATCCTGAGCTGTGTTGCCCACCAGGAAACTCGCAGGGAGTTCCTGGTACCTGCCATCCACCTAGTGAGGGCTCAAAACGCACACTTGTCAGATGTCAAATAACCAACTAGTGACTATCGTTTGGGTGGGGGGGGGGGAATGTGAGTAGGGGCTCTTTGGAGCTGAACTGGGTCTAAGGTGACTTGTTGCACAATAAAATCAAGCCCACCTTCTGTCGTGGTCTTGGTTGTCCAGTTCCTGAGCCGGTCGGTTCTGCAGTATTCCGGGGCACTGCTGATGACAGCCCAGTCAGCCTGGTTCATCGACTCCACTTGGAAGGACAGACCAGTCACTGGGGCTCAGCACTCGGCTCCTGTTAACCCTGCAAGCCAAAGCCCTAACAGGTATCGTAGTCCTGGCTGGACATGTAGTGGCAAAGCTTGGCAGTCAGTGCTTTAAAGGCAAGCTATGCGGTTTTGGCGCATAGCGCAAAGCAGTCTGAAACGCTAGCCTGCACGAGGAGGCGGACTATATAAATGCAAATTGTTGTTGTTTTAACTGGTTAGACTCCAGCACTATCCCCAACGAACATTCTGGGCTCGACAAGTCTTGGCTCTTACCAACCTGCGCCTAATAGTCTCTGGATTTAGGTAAGAAGGGCGCATCTCTTCAGGAAGAGAGTGCACATTCGATTCCAATAAATCTTTCTGGAATTTCCATGTGTAGGTGTGATGCATAGAGCTCTGTTTGGTTTTATAGATTTCAGCACGCTGATGGGTTTCCACATTTGTCAGACACCCGGCTTGACTAACAAATAATTCTCTTTGCCACACCTTTGGTCATCTTTCCCCCTACCTGCCTCGGCTTCAACCCCTGGACTATCCAGCACCTTCAGTC